ACCCAAATAAAAAACTACAGTGGAGCCTGTAGGTGACTTGTGCGCGGGACTTGAATCCGATACCGATAGAGCAAAGCAGGGTTTAGGCGTTTAGGATTTAGGGTTTAGGGGTTTGGGGCTTAGGGTTTAGGGGTGTAGGGGGGTTTAGGGTTCCAATAATAAGCACCCCAAAATTGCGGAAGATCGCCTTAAAATTAGGGTTCCTTTAAACCCCAAACCCTACACCCCAAACCCGCTCCTTATTAAGGACTTCTATAAGGTTTTGTTTATCCCCTAATTGCAGATACAGCTTATATTCTGTAGCGCTTTGAACTTAGGTTCTGTTCAACCCTAAACCCAGCGGCTTGTCCGATAAACCCAAAACCTGAACCCTCAGTCTCTTCTGGATTCTTCAAGTGTTTTAGGGTCTAGGGATTTAGGGGTTTACAAGTAGGGCTTAGACTCTTCAAAAGGATTGGCTTCATGAGTTGTATGTGGAGGTACCTGCGGTGTCAGTTTTTGTTCCCTAATGTCGTCAGTCCTTCGTCTTGATCCTGTCAGGACCCAAGATACCCTTCATTCATGGGCAAATTGAGTGAAACCCTAAACCCGGAACCCCTTTTGAAAAGGACTGCTGTAAAGCCCTTGCGGAAATATCCTCGAAACCGACTCCGAAACGAAATTGCTAGCGGCCATAGGAAATAACAACAACGAGTCCTTCCTAAGAAACACTAAAAGCATAGGTTTTATGGAGACCTGGTAAACCTTTGGCACTCCTTCACCTGAAACCCGCCATCAAGCACTTGTAAGAGTCTTGCAAAAATCCGGCATGCCCTCGGGCCCTAAAACTGAAATCCGGACAGACCCTAAGCTCTCACTAAACCTAAAGGCTCTACCCTAAGCCCACAAACTCCATTCCAAGGCAGGCAAAAAGGGCTTTTGGATCTCCATGAGAAAGAAAACATAAAGCCGACAACAAAAGCATCACTACAAACATCACTACAAAAACACGGAAGACATACCTAAATGCCGTATACAGAGCAACTCCCCAAACCCCTAAACCCTGAACCCAAAACCATCAAAGTCCTGAGCCCTGATAAAACCCTGATGTAACCCTTAAAAAAGGCCTTACCCTAAATAGTGCCCTAAACCCTAAACCCCAAGCCCTAAACCCTAAACCCTAAACCCTAAACCCTAAACCCTAAACCCTAAACCCTAAACCCTAAACCTTAAACCCTAAACCCTAAACCCCGAACCCTCCTCCCAAAGAGTGCCCTCAAGGCGCCTCGGCCTCCGTGGAAGCCTCTGCTTCGGCAGTGGTATCTACCTTCGGAAAGTTTCGGGTTTCAGGGTTTAGGGTTTAGGGGTATCTACCTTCGCAAAGTTCCTAGGTTCTCCAGTAACCCCTTAATAATAAGGGTGTCCTTTTTCCTACTATTTGGTTTCAATAAGGAGACCCCAAACCAAAAGGGCAAAAGGGTACTACTGGGGAACCTAGGTTCGGGGTTTCGGGGTTTAGGGGTTTAGGGGTTGAAGGGTGGGGGGCTTTAATGTTTAGGGGTTCAGGGCTCAGGGTTGGGTTTTCGATGCAGAGCTTCTAGGTAAAGTATCTTTTTCTTGTAGCGGTTTTCGGGTTGACAGTTTACGGTTTAGGCGTTTCGGGGTTCAGGGCGTAGGGGTCCAGTTACGTTCCCGTCCAGCTTGCAGACGCAGAAGCAAGACGAGCTAGCAGAAATCTAAAGTTGAAACCATGGGTCCCTAGTGTGGGCGGTTAACCCTCAGATCCTTATATGCCTACTATATACCCTATATGTACCCTTAAGGGTCCCTAGAATCCTCCTAGAAGGCTTAAGGGTCCATATTGCGTGCCCATACTTCCAACCTTTGAAGAAAGATGAAACCAACACACAGAAGGCTACAGAAGCTTAAGGTTTCACGGTTTAGGGCTTCCGGATGGATACTATAGGGGCCTTAATAATTAGAATAGGGTTTTGGGGCCGGTTATACTATAATTATAATAAGAAGCCCCCACAATAGTATAGGCAATTAGTATTTAGGCCACTAGAAAATAGTATATGTAATTATTTAGGTCCCTATACTAGCGCATGAGTTTTTCTACGACTTTTGGAGTTCAATGGTGTTGTTCTTCGGAAGGGTTCTCGGGGAACCCTGTGAAGCCTTCTACAAGAGTCTAGCGTTTAGGGTTTAGGGTTTTAGGGTTTAGGGTTTTAGGGTTTAGGGTTTAAAAGAACGAAGGCCTTTGCCAAGCCCCACATTAAGACGTAGACTGGGTTCTTGTTAAGGGATTTCATGTAATCTAAGGTCAGAAATATGGGCATGTAATATGGACCCTTAGGCCTTCTAGGAGGATTCTAGGGAACCTTAAGGGTATATGTAGACATGTTGGGTTGTTTTGGCCGGTCTGTAAGGATCCCAGGGTTACGGGCCCATGCTCTGGGCCCATGGTTTCAGAACCTTAGATTGAAGGTACCATAATCATCAAAACCTCTTATTTACACTAGATCCCTATTATGGTAAGTTGAAGTTAGACCCCTTCACAACAGCCCAGTAGAACCAGACGTCCGATCCCCTAAACCCGAAACCCTAAATTAAGGCTTAGGGTTTAGGGGCTTAGTTTCGGGTTTAAGAGTTTCCGGTTTAGGGTTTGGGGTTTAGGGCTTTACGGGTTTAGGGGTTTAGGGTTTATTTTGGGGTTTAGGGTTCCCTAAACTCTAAATCCAAAAAGCCGAAACCCTCAAACCCTAGTTAAGCCAGTGAAAACCCTGGACACTCTAGACCCGAAAACCCGACATCCCTAAACCCTAAAGCCCAACACCCTAAAACTTAAACCCTAGATTAAAGGAAACTACAGGTGGGGAGTTTAGGGTATATAGGGCTTCTATAAGCCTTCTATAAGGTATATAGACCTTCTCCTATAACGGTAACTACCNNTACCTACCTGAAAATGTCCTAGACCAGAAAAGCCTACAATAGAAGACAGACAGTTGACACCTCATTATCCGCATGCCCCTAAGGCAAAGCATAGGGAATCCCAGCACGAACAATGCCAAATTTATGCTACATTTTTCCGGCGGCTCACAACAAACTCGAAACCCTTAACCCCCAAAACCCTAAACCTCAGAACGCAAAACCATGAAGCTTAAACCCTAGCAAACCTCTAGGTCCGAGACCCTGAAACACCTTAATAGTAGCAATGATCACCGACATAACAGTACTAATGAGGAAATAGCAAAGTTATTTTTTTGACACCCTTCAGTCGCAGCAATGATAATAGTACCGAACAATAAAACAAGGCAAGACCAATAACAAGTAATGCTTATCATCACTACTACTACTACTACT